AATAATTTTTCTACTCTAAAATTATATTTTTTTAATGGAATTCTTATTAAAAAATATTTTTAGTTAAATTTGATTTATAGTAGAGCAAAGTTTTCAAAATAATAATTCTAAAAACAATTAATAAAAATGTATGATATGAGACTATTATATTTTAATAAATTATTTATTTCTTTAAATATAAAAAAGTATATACTTTTTCATGTTACACTTCGAAGAAAACATAATTGAAGGAGTTGTGTACGTGCAGGTCTAAAAGTAAGTTTTCTTTTCTTTTTTTTTTTCTTAACATAGGTCTAGAAGAAGGTATTGAAAAAAATTAGATACTGAAAAATAAATTAAGTCGACAAGTTTAGAAGGTAGCATACAGCAGATTTGCACGATTTCAATTTCAAGCCTATTTTCTATTGTAAGAGAAGTTAACAGATATTTCTTAAAAGAAAAATACGATTTAAATATGATGATTGGTTATGAGACAAACACTTTTATACTAATTTATTTGAAGGCACTAAAACAAAAGGGAGAGAGACCTCAGATAGAGTATTAATTAAGTAGCTACTATGTAATAGCACAAAATATGAAAATGAGAAATCTAACAAACTGCTCAAAAAGAAAAAAAAATAATACTATGATAATGAAAATCTAAAAAGAATTAATGAAGAAAATATAAACTAAATCTAATAATATGGTCATAAATTAATCTGTAACAAGTATTAAGATATATATTAAAGAAAAAATAAAAAGTATCTTGAAGATATAGATAGATGATGTACTTACAAGTTACAATGCAAGATTAGCAGAAGAAATAGGTAAAGTTGGACACTGACAACCAACTTGAGCCTTGCAAAGCAAATTGTTAGAAGTAGCGGCAGGTTCAATTTTTAATGCGAGGAGTTGATGAGCCAACTGAGGAGAAGAAACAACTTAAATAGGCACTAGGCAATAGCAGGGTACATTTCCTGGAAGATGCTTAGCAAATGTAAGTGAAATCAACGAGAGAATCTTATTGTATCAAAAAGAAAGACTTGAAAGATGGAAGTGTAAAATATATGAAAAGAAGCATTATTTCACACCCAGTCCACATAAATATTCTAAATTAAGTTACTGCCACCTAAGTTTTTGTGAAAAAAATTGAAGTATAAGGTTCTTAATTTCTTTTTTTGTTATTGGATGGTAAAAATTATTTTAGAAGGATTAGGATTATTTATATGTTTTTTAAACTTAACAAAGTTACTTAAGAAATTAAGGTTTAAATTAACATTAAAAAATTGATAGGTTAAAATAAATAGGCATTTATAGGACTTAAAGATACCTTAAAAGAGAAGTGGGACTGGTGCCAAGATAATTAGGATTTTGGTGTGAATATATGCTGAAAATCGCAAAGTATGGACACTTTAATAACATGTGTCGGCACCGCCCATCAATCTGCAAAATGAGTGTCCGTGTCGGGATTTTGGGCTAATAAGCAATTTTGTTTTTTCATGGGTAAAACTTTGCTGGTCTCTCAACTTTTACTTTTTCTGCACTTTGATCTTTAGACGTTTTATTTATTCGTCTGGGTCCTTGACTTCAACTTTCTCTTTTTCAAATTGTTCTTCTGCAATTCAGTCCTAATATTTCTGATTTCTTCCAAAAGGAAAATTAACACAACAATATGTATGAGAATTCAACTTATTATATATCAATTCATGCATGTCTAAATAATTTTAAGAAAAAAAAGTCTATTTTATTAGTCTATTGTTAATTTAAAATAATAAATTATCACTACAAGAAAAATGATTTTTTGTGACAGAAATTTGTGATGAATTTTGAAATCATCACTATAACTTATCACAATTATGACAAATCTAAAAAATTAGTCATAAATACATACATATTTAATTATGAACAAAAAAATTCATCATAAAAAATATATTTTGTTACCGAAAAATATTCATAAATATAAAATAAGCTTTTGTCGATAAAAATCATCATTATAATGCATTACAATTATGACAAAATTCTAATATTGGTCACATATACCTTACACATTCAATGATGACCAAATAATTTAGCACTAAAAAATATATTTCGTCACTAAAAATTGTCAATTTTCTCTAATCAATGCATCCCACATCAATAAAAAACATATAAGAGAATAAAGTTTTACACTATAAATATATCCCACATCGACAAAAAATATTTAAGAAAATAAAATTTTGCATTATAAAACGTGTAAAACTCAATAAAACTTCAGATTAGTTTGGGCCTGATTAATTTTAATTGGGCTTGATTAATTTTAATTGGATTTGATTAATTTTAATCAAAATTGATTAGTATTGAAATAATAATATTTTTTATTAAACTTCTATGATAAATTTATATAGTATTTTTTTGTGACAAAATTTTTGTTAAAATATTTGTGTTGTAATTATATAAATATTGTTTTTATTTAATATCAATTTTAATAATTAATAACTAAATTTTGCATCATAATTGCATTTGTTACGAATGTTTTTTTGTGTCGAATAAAATTGTTATAAATAACTTGTTAACAATGTCAATTTTTTTTTATCACTATAAAATTATTTTTTATGACAGGTACTTAATTTGTCATTAAGAGTATTAGTGACAAGGGTTTTACTAACGGTTTAAATTTTATCACTAATAATAATTTGTGACGAAAAATAAAGATTTAATGATAAATAATTTAGTCATTAAATGTGAATTTTCTTGTAGTGTATAATTTTCTTAATTTGTAGCCTTTTTCCTTTTTCATCTGCTTCTTTTGCGTTGCTAGCTATATTTATCTTTCTACTTAGAGTTTTTTTTTTTTAATTTATGACTTCTTTATCTATTATTAAGTATTTATTATTAGCTTAATTAGAAATGACCTTCTTTTTAGCACTCTTAAGGGGAAAATTTTTCAAAATTATATATATTTGTTTCCTATATAACTATTTTTACTAATCAATGATTAAATAATAGGTTAATAGTAATCTCTTTATGATAGATGTTAGAGATTCTAAATTTGAGTTATATAATATGTGATTGAGAAGAGTAAAGGGATAAGAAATAATAACTTCTTACCATATCAGCTAAGAATTAAAAAAATAATAATAATAATTAAATGAGTTCTTTCTCTCTCTCTCTCTTTTAAGGTATAAGACATGTGGGCTAAAATTGGAGTTGGGCTACTTGAGATACTCTAGCTTGACCCAATATTGTATGGTGGAGCTTGGCAGCCCAATAGATTATGTTGGGGCCCGATTTGTCATGATTAAGTGGGATATGAGCAGTACAAATGCTATGGACCCACTTATCTTGATAACAACATCAACATCCCAGATCTATTATTTCTCTAAGTTCCCTTTACCCATCATATCGTCAAGGAAAGAAAACAAGCCTTCCAAGTGTGACTCACAAAATAAATTCTTATTCAAAATTCAATCTTCCAGTTCTAGAAATATCTACTTTTTTTTGGTAAAAATTAAAATTAAATCTAACATAGTGTTCTGAAAAGTGTTTATTTTTTTAAAAAAGTTGTTTTTAACATTTTAATAAGCTAAAACACAGTATGTATGGTGAAGTTAATAGATATTTTTTGCAAGAAAAACATCCATGATTCAAATATTATTATTTAGAGATATATTATTCTATATTTACTTAAAGCATCAAAAAATGAGTGTATCTTGCAAGAATGAAGACTTTTTTTTGCTAATAAAGTCATCATTTACCTATAAGAAAACTTTAATATTTTATTTTATGATCAATACTTTAAACAGAATACAATGAAATCAAGATTCAAAATATAGATAGCAAGATACATGGTGTACCTTCTCCTTTAGTGTTGGAAGATAAAATTCAAGAAATTAACAGAATCAAAGAAAACATAAACAGAATCAAAGATTGATGAAGATGAAGATCTAAATGGATTGTGTATGCCTACAGGTTCAGAAGGAGGTGGAAACTGATAACTGACTTAGACCAAGCAATACAAATTACCAGAAGTAGCAGCAGGTTCAATTTGTGTATTCATAGTCTAAAGAGAACATATAAATATACATAACAAAATCGAGATTGAATATCTAAATAGCAAGATCGTGTACCTGCAGCTAGCAGAAAGGAAGTTGGACAGTGATGACAAAGCTGATTCAATTGGAAGTATCAATTGCAAGACGGATTCTTTCTGATTCCGAGGAGAGAAGTTGATGGAGCCAATTATGGAGAAGAAAGAACTTGAAGTAGGAGGCAAGTTAATGCGAAAGTCAAGAGGATATTTCCAGGAACGAAGATGCGTGGCAATTAGCAACCACTCAATTTGTGGATGAGGGTGCACAGTCATAATCAAGAAATACCGTCCTCCACTCCAAAATAGTATATAAAATTACTGTTGCTACATGTGGGTTGTGCATGGTGGTTGAAAAAGCATGCAAATTTCAGCATTTGAAATTTGGTTGCAGGGGAAATTTCGTGGCAACTCAATTTTGTTGAAAAATTAGAAGTTTCATGTCAGCCTTTTAAATGAAAATTTACTTGTTGCAAGTTTTTCCATGCAACATTTAGTGTGGATGTATTGTGGATGGTTGGATCATGACTTTGGATCCCATTGCATGTATTGTGGGTGGTTAGTATTTCACCATAAAAAGCCATCTAAGCATTCGGCAGATCACCAAGTGGGCAATCCAAAGCAAAGTTAGTTCTAGAAAATACAAGAATGTTATGAGTGCTTTGGGTGAGGCTGAGCAAAAGCAGAGTGATTAAAAGTACTTTGTTGAGGTTTTTTTTTAGTATGTAACGCATTTAAAAATATTATAATTAAGATTTTGGTGTACTTAAAAATTATTTTTTTTAGAATAACATAAATTATATATTTTTATTTTAATAATAAATTTCTTTTTATAAGTACCCGTGAGTATATTTAATTCAATTGAAATTATTTCATATAAATTTTGTTTGTGGTTAATCAAAATCTTAAACAATTTGTTCCAATAATTGCATAATTACGTTCGCACAACCCTCTCAATTCTTCGTCTTTGATCCCCCATCTCCCTAGGCTCTCTCTTCCATACTTCGTTCTTCTTCTCATATAGAGTTGTGAAAAATCTCTACGAAATAATAACCCATGAGAAATTTGTGTTAATTGTTGGAGCCAGACAGAGCTGGATAAGCAATTCGCTCCGGTCGTTGAAGGGCATTGAAATGGGTCTGGCATTGGCATTGTCATTGGCATTGGCTTCCATGGCAGCGGGCCGCCATCATAGTTGAGGCCAAGAAGCAAGAGAAACCGAAAATCACTCGTGGGTATCAACCCAGATCTGGAGATAGATTGAGAAAGAACCGACCAAAGGGACCAGATCTGAAAACCTGAGCGTGGATTGAGAGGGAAAATGGAGAAAATGTGAGAAGATTCGAAGGAGAGAGGAGACTGGGTTTAGAAGGAGTCCCCTACCCCCATGAATACGGGAGCACAGAGAAGGAAAAAGATTACAATCGAAAGAAAAAGAGAAGAATCAAGAGCTTTTGGCAGAGAGAGGAGAGGGCGGAGAGGGAATTTGAGAGGAATAACTTTCAATCAAATGACAATGAGATAACTTTCCCTAAGGCCTCAGCGTAACTGGATTCAACCCAAGGCCTCATGCTTGTGCAGGCAAAATCATTGTACCATAAATAAACAAAGATGGTGGGTGATGTGTCTATTGAAAGAACCCTTTCACAAGTGGTAAAAGCATTGCAACTTGTTCATGGCATTTTTGGTTTGCAGTTTTCTACGGCTACCACTGCCAAACATATCAATTCTCTCTTTCTGAAAGGAATAAAATGAAAATTACTCTTTTTTTTATATGATTGTATCAAATATCTTGATTTTATATTCCTTATTTGCAAACACCCTCCCATGGTGGAGAAGGGATTGTAGCTGAGCCAACATCTGTGCTTGCAAGTTCCACTACGCTTTAGATGCTGGAAACATAGAGAAACGAAATGGAATTTCTCAGCTCGAAGTTCCTCCTCAATTGCTCCTAAAGGAGGATAACAATCATTGTTTGACATAGCTACTTGTATGGCTTGAACACAATTTGATTCAATGATGACATTGCTTTGTCCAAATCCTCCGCCCATCCCCAATGCAAAATCAATAGCCATAAACTCAGCTTGAAGAACTGATCCTTGAAACCTAGAAGTTCTTGGCACAGCTCCTTAACTTAGCTGTCACCGTTCTTAAGGACAACTCCAAACCTGGCTATGCCTTGCCCTTGTCATATTGCTGCATCAGTATTGACCTTAATGGAATCTCCTTGAGGAGGTTGCCATGATACCATAGGTTGGACATTCCTTGTCTCTGATCTGGTGTCCTTCCTCCCCAATGCTTCTATATTCAGCAATGTATTCAAAGATGCGTTTTATATTCTAATCCCGAACATTGATCTTTAGTTATTGTAAAATGTCATGAACTACTCTTCTTGAAGACCAGACTAGATCCAGCTTCCCAGTATATGATGCTTCTTAAATTGGATGTGTCTCACTGAAGCAGTTCTCGTGGCTGCCTGGCTTCCATTCCCAGCTCCTGAAAGATGCAGCTATAATCATCATCTTCTTAATTTCCTGAATTGGGATGTTTGTTTCTTAATAGAAAACAGCATGTGAAACATACCACAGATGTGCTGGGGACATAATCATGAAGAAGATCCTCTGAACTGAAGGATTGATGTTGGATTCTAACTAATTGCCAGGTTCCCATATCTGAAAACCCAAAAACCCAAAACCTGGGAAGAAAGTCAAAACAATCTGTTGGATTCCAGAATGTATGCTCACATTAAAAACTTGCTCTTACAGTACAAAAACCAGAATAATTTCTGCTATTGGTGCAGCTTTCACATCTTTTCATTTGCTTTGACACCACAACTTCAATATTTTCGAATAGATAATTATGATTTTTATAAATATTAATTTATAAATTAATTTTAATTTAATAAATAATGGTTATTAACTATTTTTAATAATAAATATTTTTAACACAATTTTAATAATTCCGTTAGTGGCATAGTCTCACCGGCAAGCCAAGAGGATGTTCCCAAGATATTGAGCTTGCCCAGTCATCATCAAGAAATGCCCTATCAATAAAAACAGTAAGTAAATTACATAACTACCCCTGCACAGCCCCCTCAATTCTCTCACCTTTGACATCCGATCGCTCCCCTCTCTCTCTCAGTCTCTCTCTCTCTCTCTCTTCCATATTTTCTTCTTGGTTAAAACCTCAATTTGTCCCTCAACATTGGTACGGATCCCCAATTAATCCATTTTGGTCAAGACACATCAAAAAATTTAAACGCGTAAGATTTACGGGAATGCCATGGAAAAAAACCATTCAACCTTTCCGGGTCAGCATCACCAAGGAACAGGGGCATCGCCTTTGCCGAGGGTTCCACCTGGAGGATTGTAAACCAATGTGCCTTGCTACTGAGGTAAGTTCTCAATTTCACGTCCTGATACACTTAGTCTGTAAACTGTTAGTGTAAAGTGGGAATAACTAAATGCTTTTGTTTTGTGTTAGCGTGTGTGCTTTATTGTAGATGTTTGTTCATTGTGATAAATTGTTGAAACTTTATTTGTTTGTCTTCCTTCACTGCCACTGTTTTATTGTATGTGTCTGTATGTACTGTCTGGATTAGTCATCATAAAGAGTGAATTTACAGTTTGCATTTTAGTTACTTGAGATAGGGGCCATATATTATACTGTCTATTTCTAATTTTTGTTAGTTGATATTTGCAGTATAATCAAACAGCAAATTGGTATGTATTGTAGGCATTGGTCAATGTAACAACAGTAATTTTAAATGTCAGATTATTCTATTAATCAGTGACCTTTGAACATTATAAAAGGATCCACTTACAAATGCCATTCTTACCTTATATAAGAGTTTTATTGGGCTTCTCTGTTATAATTTTCAGACATTGTAACCCATGCTCATCTTTGCTGCAAACTTTTTTTTCCTGAAAATAAATTTTCAGTGGCTGTTGGTTTTCTTGGTATTCGAATTTAAGACATTGGCGTAATTGTCTAAAACTTTTATTTTAGCGGATAGTTTTTGGTTTTGCCTTTGTTTGGTATTGACTTAAGATGAACAAGTATTCTCAAAAGTTCTTAAAACCGAAAGATCTTCTTGCTTGTCTTTGTGTGTGTGTGCGTGTGTACTGTCTATGTTCTTTTCATGTGTCTTTACTTTTTCTTCATCTCTTTTTTGATCCTCTTTCATGGTGTAGGGGGTTGGTGAGACCAATTACCACGCTATCTTGTTCTGTGCATCATCTTGTTCAATTCAGTTCTAATATGGATTTAGAAAGGGTCGTATTAGCGTGGAATTGTGACGATATCATTTTCTAAAGGAGATGCAATAAAATTGGACTAGATAAATCATAAATTACCATCTTGATTGCCATTTTTTAGAGACTATTATGTGTCATTTGTTTGTGAATTTGTCTCTTGTTAGTGCCTGTTGTTCCTGTTAAAGGTTGAAATTTAAGGATTGTTGCATGTTCATTTTCTTTTTCTTTTTTTTTTTCCTTTTTTTTAGCTTATCTTTGTTATTTCTTATTTTTCTTCTTGGATTTGCATTAATTGGTGAAAAATGGAAGTTTATTTTCAGTCTATTCTCTTTTTTCTTTAATCAAGGTTTAACTAACTGTTGCATTCTGCCTTGCTTGATTGACATGCAAACATTCTGACAGTCTGTCTTGGTAGATGTCTGGACTTGATATCAGAGCTTTGTCAGTGGTCTTAAGAGTTGTTTGGTTATTGTTGTTTGGCTTTGCGCATCTTCTGGTAATAACATGGGCTAAATATTTTGTAAGGTTAGCTATATACTTGGTTTAAAATGATACTTAAGTTTTAATTAATTGATGGTTTCATGCCCTGTTCTTTTTTTGAGGAAAAGCTTAATGTAGTTCTGATGATAATTGGTGCTTTTGTTGTTTTTGGCTCATTGGTGTTTGAATTTCTGCTTGTATTGTTTGATTTGCTTGTCCGCTTGTTATCTTGATTTGCTTTATGTGCCTAATTGGTTTGTTGAATTTAGTGCATATTTGTGTTGTTTCACTAGTTTGACCTTATTTCTTAATTCAAATTAGCATTGACTTTTCTTTTGCTTGATGTAGAGTGATCAATTGAGTTATGGATGGGTGTGTCATTCAGGTGCATGACAGCTTATTGGACGCAGATGCTTTTTGTGGTTCTTGTGATTGCGTGATTGCAGACTATATAAAATCTGGCTTCATGAATGCGTTAGCTGTGCTTTTACGGCTACTTCTGTTGATCTGCTCCTTTAAGATGTGGTTCATTTCTAAGTGCTAGTTGTTACAACTGCTGATCTAGGTTAGTCTTTGTATCTTTCTTGGGAAACAGTTTTCCAGTTTGAATTTAATTTTTACTAGTAGTTTTGATCAAATAATTAGCAAGTGAAATGCTTTAGCTATTTTGCTCATGTGTATGGTTGTTGTATTTGCTTACTTTCTTGATCTTGTTATTCATACTAAGCCTGCTAAATAATGACCTCTAAAGCTAACTATGGACAATATCTCTATCTTTTGGTATGAAATTTATGTATGTGCTTTATGTTTTTATATTTCTTTCTTTTGTCATAAAGTTAGAGCACAATTGCTACAAAAGAAACTGTCAAGGAAAACTGCAATCTTTCTCTTTAAAGTAAATGATGCTTGGATCTTGTTCTGCACCCAGTTGAAGAAAGCTTCTGTTTGAAATAGTGCTCTCACAAAAATTTAACAGCATATTGCCATATCTGGTTATGGATTTTTGTTTCAAGTTTTCTGCATTAACATGGTTGCACCATTCTTTAGCAACAAGATACCTATGTTAGCATTGTCTTTTAGTCTTTCAATAGAGAATTGCTTGTTTATTTTTATGTTTGTGGATGGCGTTGTTGGTCGAATCTTATAGTTTACATGCACAATGGACTTTTGGATTTGTTCTACTGAGTTTGGGGTCTTTATGGGTTCAGCAGAAGATTGGTTGAGAGGCTAGAATTATGCTTTCCCTTCCTTATGGCTTTGCCAGCAAGTGATCACAGGATCTTTGTATATCGTACCAAATGTTTCTGTCCTGTACAATGTGCTTCTGGAAAGAACAATAATTAACGTGTGCTTGTTTTACTCTTGACATTTTGGTTGTAAATAATGTGAGTGGTGTCCCTT